TGCCGCGGAGACTTCCCTCATTTACCCGAGACTCTCATGCCCGGCACCTGCAGTCCCCAGGTCCTGGGGAGGGAAACAGGCAGCGCCGACGCCTGAAGGATACCCAGCGGACCCAGCCTCCCCTCCCCCGGGATGGTTTCTTTGCAAACACTAAGTCATTAGGAGCTTTTCACACGCCCTGGTGACTTCCTCTAGGCTCCCGCGAGGCCCCTGGAGTTAGCGAATTGATTGCCTAGGGCAGGGTGAAGCAGGTGCGACCCCGACCTGGGAGCCTTCTACTTCGCTCTTTGCACCACCACCCAACCACTGGAATTCTTTCTTTGGGGTCTGACCCCAGCGTTCAGGACCTACCCGGACCCCACAGCTCCTGGCACCCATAGTAAACTGTTTGGATCTGAAAGACAGGGCCAGATCCTGATGGGTTATCCTGGTAACGAGTGCTCGGTCTTGAGTTTTAGGCCAGTTGGGCGTCACGTGGATTTATGAGTGGAACTCCTTGTACCTTGCCTTATATGCCACAGGTGACCTTCTGGACCTGGGGTTCCGGGCTTTAACTCGCCACCCGGAACGCACACTGGCGGCCGCCCAGGTCTGTAGGCAGGAGGCTGCCAGCCCTGGAAACAACGGCGAGGGAGGCGTACCGGGTGCTACTGAATAGTTTTTGCGCTCGAATTTGTCCTGCCCGGAGTGTGATCTGTCACACTGAACAGGCCTCTGCGAACCTGCGTGGGGGGAAGGGGATGTCTGGTCTGCGATCACCCTACTGTGATGCTAATGGGAGCCCTGCTGTTTGGGCAGCCTGGGTAGCATTAACAGGGAGGTTTTCATTTCCTTGTGAAATTTTCAGTTCTGCTGTAAAAGGCAATTTCTCACTTTTTATCCCCTTCCTCTACAGACACTGTCAAAGAGCAAATCACATTGAATTGGAATTAGAAAGAGGAATATGATTCATTTCCCTCTGAAGTTACGGAAAGGGGTCTTCCTTTTTATTTTTTAAAGAGTTATTTTATTCAACTTTATTTATTTATTTATTTTTATTTGACCAGAGAGAAACAGAGCGAGAGCGAGAAAGCGAGAGCAAGAGAGAGAGAGAGAGAGAAAGTGAGAAAGCAAACCGCCAGGTCTGATAGTCAAACCATGGCCGGCCATGTGGAGTCCAGTGCTCTTAACCACCAGGCCACCTGCCCGCCCGAAAGGGGTCTTCTGATATTGGTCTGAAAACTACCAATGGTACAATGCCTTTTATTAGTCAGCATCAAGCTAAAGGCATTTATTTATTTATTTATTTATTTACTCTGGGCAGCATAGTTTATTTATTTATTTATTTATTTATTCTGGGCATTAATGAAAGTCATGATTAACACAGCTTTCCTTTTGCCTAAGTCTTTAGAAGTTGGAAACTTACAATTCAGGCACAAAAGTTAGTGTGCGCAAACTTTTTTTTATTTAATGTAAATGTAGATCATTCAACACTTTTCTGATTCTGTAGGACGCATACCTTGGTTATTTGCCTTGTTCTTGTTTGCAAAGTGAGGGGCTGGGATGTGGCCATCGGATCCCCAGAGTATGGAGTTAAGGGTGAGGAAAAATCGGCTTACTTGTTAATCAGGGCCATTTAATATTGCACCTCTGTTCTCCTCCGCAGCCCCCACCCTGCACACGCTTAGGCCTTTGCAGGGAAACTGTCCTAAAGGCTTATTGAGTAGATGGAGACGTGGGTAGACAGCCCTTTGCTCCTGACTGGGAGTTAGATTATTTGGGAAGAAGGGCGTCACTGGGGCCGTTTCTGCCACTGGGTTAGGTGTGTGCTCACTCCCTTTTAGCTCAGTCCTTCTGTCTGCTCCTCAGGTCACTCCTGACAGACACCTGGTTTGATTTTCTTCACAAAACTTCACCCCCAAAACCTACCTCATTTTGGAGAAAGGAACTCAGCCTAGAACAGGCTTCTCATTTTACAGATGGTGGATACTAATTTGGGGAGCGAGCAAGGAGAGATAAACACTTCATTTTTCTTTCTTTCCGTAATTTAATCAATAATTATTCATGTAATATGACCTGTCTTACTGCTGGATCATAATTTCTGGAGTTCAAGGACCCTACCAGCATCTCCATCACATCTTGCACAGTGTCATTTAAAAGGCGTCAGTAAATAGCAAATGAAGGATAGATTGAGGGGCCTTGCCCGGAGTGACTTGGCTGGATGGAGACAGGATGGCCTTTAAGTCAGCTTTCATCAGCATTTCTTTTTTTTTTTTTTTTTTGAGACAGTTTTTTCTTTTTTTTTTTGCTATAGGGCATGTGATCTCGCCAGAAAGACAGAGAGACAGAAAGCGAGAAATCACCCCCCAGGGGAGATGGCTACGCCACAATCCCTTCTCCTCCATTCTCCTCTCAGGAACTTGGGCACGCACACACACGCGCCCGGCATGGGTTTTAAGCCACCAGGTCCGGGACACGAACCGCGGTCGACTACATGGGAGTCCAGCGACATAGCCACTACGCTAACTGCTGGTCCCCCATCAGCATTAATTCTTGATACCATGTCACAGGCCTAAGAGATCTCCTGTGGCCCAATCATTCCATTTCTTTTGGTGACTGTGTCTTCTGTTCTTTATAATTGTTTTTTTAATTATAAAGTAATCAAGTGGTCACTAAAGGAGAACAATAAAAAAAAAGAAGGAATTTAATTAAATCACCCCAAACCTTAGTACCCAAAGTAACCACTGCTAAAATATCCATTTATATACTTTCCCACCCCCTTTTTTTTGGGGGGGGAGAGATTTTCACTGTAGGGCGCGTGCACTCGCCAGACAGACAGAGAGAGACATAGAGACAGAAAGCGAGAAATCACCCCCCAGGGGGGATGGTCACGCCACAATCCCTTCTCCTCTATTCTCCTCTCGGGATCTTGGGCACACACGCACACGCGCCCGGCGTGAGTTTTAAGCCACCGGGTCCAGGACACGAACCGCGGTCGACTACGTGGGAGTCCAGCGACATAGCCATTACGCCAACTGCTGGTTCCCCTTTCCCACCCTTTTGACTATCCATAAATGAATAAAATATGTAATTACAGGTAAGAAAATCATTTTGTAAAGGTATAGGATTTTACAACCTGATCAGGACTAGGGAAATACCTATAAAACATATTTTTTTTCCCTTGTTTTTGTCAGATGAGAACACTCACCAGAGAGAGACAGGGCGAGAGGAAGAGAGAGAAAGCAGCCCTCAGTGATGTGTAGTCCGACTGCAGTCCTTTCTCCTCCATTTCTCTCCATCCTGTTGGGATCTTGGGCACTCATGCACAAGCACTGGCATGTTTTCTTTTTTTTCTTTTCTTTTCTTTCTTTTTTTTTTTTTTTTTTTTTTGCTGTAGGGTGTGTTTGCTCGCCAGTGAGAGACAGAGAGAGACAATGGAGGAAAAAGTGAAAAAAATCACTCCCCGAGAGGCATGGCCATGCTGCAATTCCCTCTTCTCCATTCTCCTCCTGGAACCTTGAACACACATGCCTGGCATGATTTGGAAGCCACCAGGTCTAGGACTCAAAATACCACCATTTTTTAAAAATCACCGGGGCCAGGATTTTAACCCTATGGTCAGCATGTGAGATCTTGCTCCCTTAACCACCAGGCCACTGAGCTTGTGCCATATGCAACATTTACAATGGGACCAGCAGTTGGCATAATGACTATGTCGCAGGACTCCCATGTGGTTGACCGAGTCCTGGACCCAGTGGCGTAAACTCATGCTGGGTGTGTGTGTGTGCGTGCATGCCCAAGATTCCCAGAGGAGACTGGATGAGAAGGGATTTCGGCATGACCATCCCTCTGAGGGGGTGATTTTTAGCTTTCTGTCTCTCTGTCTGTCTCTCTCTGTCTTTCTAGCAAGCACACGCGTCCTATAGCAAAACCTCTCAAATAAACAAACAAATAAATAAATAAATAAAATAACACCACATTTATAATAACCCTAAAATATGTTATAGGTGGATGTATCATAATTTTATATCAGTCCTCTGTTGATAGACAGAGGGGTATTTCCAGTGTTTTGTAATGAAGATGGTCCCCATGCTTGGCTTATAGTTACTAATTAACCTTGATAGGTGATGTTTTAGTGAAGTTTCTATTTGACTTTCTTATGGTTTTATAAGCTGGGCAAGTGTTGAGAAAAGCAGTTCTCCCTGAAAGAATTCTAATGAAAATGTTCTAAAAGTGTCCACAGAAAGGGAAACCTAGCAATTGAATTTTTTCTTTTTTTAAAAAATTTTTCAGCCTGTGCTCCCAAAGGTTGAAAGCAAAGAAAAACATTTGAGGTGGGAGGCTAACAGGGAAGAAGAGGTAGAAGGTTCAGTCGTGCCCTGTAACGATGGGGCGACATTCTGAGAAGAGCACTGTCAGGTGATTGCACGGTCGTGGGAGTATATGCACTTACACAAACCTCGATGGTAGAGTGTAATGCAAGCGTAGGCGCTGGTATAGCCTGTAGCGGCTAGGCTAGACACCTATAACGCACATACCGTACTGAATCCTGTAGGCAGCTGAACACAGAGGTATTTGCATATGTAAGCATATTTAGACATGGAAAAGGTAGGCAAAAATACAGTGTAAGTGATAAAAAATAGTATATCTACATAGGACATTTAACCATGCATAGAGCTTGTAGGACTGGAAGTTGTTCTTCCAGCCAGTGAGTGAGCGGTGA